GTTTTTTTTTTTTTTTTTTTTTTCTGTCGGCCAACGTCAGGGGAGGAAGGGGAGAGGGAAAGAGGTCAGGACAGGGAGGTCGGGATGGCAGACGGGAATGGAGGAGGGAAAGGTTGGGATCAGGTGAGGAGGAGGGAGGAGGAATCTAGGCATAGGGCAAGGTCAGGGGAGGAAGGGGAGAGGGGGAGAGGTCGGGACGGGGAGGTCGGGATGGGAGGTCGGGACGGGGAATTGAGGGAGAGGTCGGGATCGAGTCAGGAGGTCGGGATGGGAGACGGGTTGAGAAGGAAAAGGTCGGGATGAGGTTCGGATGGGATGCGAGTCGGGATAGAGGAGGAGGGAGGAGGAATCCAGGCAATGGAGACGACTCGCAACGATGTCGAGATCGGGGGAGCAAGGGGAGAGAGGGAGAGGTCGGGACGGGGAGGTCGGGATGGGAGGTCGGGACTGAGAGGTCGGGATGGGAGACGCGAACAGAGGAGGGAGAGGTCAGGATCAGGGAGGGAGAGTTGGGACGATGTCAGGGAAAGGAAGGAGAGCAGGAGAGAGGTCGAGACGGGAAGGAAGGGAAGGTGGGGAGGGGGGAAGAGGTCGGGATGGGATGGGAGTCGGGATAGAGGAGGAGGGAGGGGCATGGGATGGAGGTCAAAACGGGGAGGTGAGGGAGAGGTCGGGATTAAGTCGGGAGGTCGGGATGGGAGACGGGTCGGAAAGGGAGAAGGAAAAGGTCGGGATGAGGTCGGGATGGGGTGGGAGTCGGGATAAAGGAGGAGGGAGGAGGAATCTAGGCATGGGAGACGACTCGTGACGATATGGGGATCGGGGGAGCCAGGGGAGAGAAGGAGAGGTTACGAGAGAGGTACAGGCGATGGAGGGAAAGGGAAGGGGGACAAGATCGGGACGAGATCTTTGCCGTATTTTGTCCTTCACTTATTACATATATCTATATCTATATCTATATATATATATATATATATATACAGGGTTGCCGGCGTTCGGGACGGGCCGAACGCCCAAACCCAAACGCCCGAACGTACGGGACCCCTTCGGAAGGCGTTCGGTCGTTCGGGCCGAACGCGGACCAAAAAAAACAAAACAAAAAAAAAACAAAGTTTTCAAAAAGTTCCGAAAACAAATTATGATGTGGAGAAAACTAAACTAAACAACATTTTCTTGGGCACTACATCCAAACTCTGTACCAAATTTGAATTAAAAATCAAATACAGAAAATTAACACTATGATAAAAAAAAGAAAAGAAAAAAAAGAATTAAAATGAGTGAGTGTGCCAGCCCCTTTTCGACACCGCCATCTTTGCCGATTCTTAATTACTTTTTGGCATTGACAAATGCCCTGAAAATTTACAGATATGTAGTTTACATAATCGATAACTCATTAAAAAGTTTTCAAAAAATAATAAAATTGTTTAGGCCCCGAAATAAAGTTAAAACCAAAAGTTAAAAGTGAAAAAAAACAAAATAGTGAGTGGGCGAGCACGTTTTGACACCCCCATCTTTGACGACTTTTAATGTTTTTTTGGCTAAGCAGAATGGCTTCAAAATTTAAAGGCGTGTAGGTTACAGCATAGAGAACTCACCAAAACAAATTCAGAAAAAAACACTTATTTTTAGGCCCCGAAACAAAATATGGCGGGGACCGAACCTAGAGGTGTTCGGCCCCCAAACGCCCGAACGTTCGGGGGCCAGCCCAGGGGGCCCCGAACGTTCGGTCAGGTAAACCTGTATATATATATATATATATATATATATATATATATATATATATGCAGGGTCACCAGCCCGTACGTTACGGAGGTCCTTGGGCAGACCTCTGTACGTAGGGGCGTTTGGGGTCCCGTACGGGGTCCGAACCCGACGACATTCGGCCCCCGCCAAAAATTATTTTGGGGTCTAAAAATAATTACTTTTTTCTGAATTGTTTTTTGTCAGGTCTATATAACGTGAGGTCCATGCCTGTAAATTTTCAAGTCATTTGGCTAAGCCAAATAAGAATTAAAAATCGCCAAATATGGCGGTGTCAAAACGTGCTCGCCCACGTATTGTTTTACTTTTTACTTTTGTTTTCACTTTAGTTCGCGGTCTAAACAATTTTATTATTTTTCGAAACTTTTTTAGTGGGTTTTGTATTATGTGAAGTACACATCTGTAAGTTTTCAGGTCATTTAGCTATGCCAAAAAAAAATGAAAAATCGCCAAAGATGGTGGTGTCGAAAACATGCTCGCGCACTCACTAAATTTAATTGTCTTTTTATTTTTATTTATTTTTATTATTAGTATTTGTTTTCCGTATTTTATTTTTATTTCAAATTTGGTAAGGAATTCGGATGTAATGCTCAGGTAAATCTTGTTTAATTTATTTTTCTCCATAACATATATTGTTTTCAGATTTGTTTGATGAGTTGTTTTTTTTTTGTTTTTTGTTTTTTTGGTCCGCGTTCGGCCCGAACGGCCGAACGCATCCCCAAGGGGTCCCATACGTTCGGGCGTTCGGGTTCAGGCTTTCCGCCCGTCCCGAACACCGGTTACCCTGTGTATATATATATATATATATATATATATATATATATATCGTCAAATAGAACTGCCCGGTAAACCGTAGGCAGAGAGGGAGAAGAGGACAACAAATGAGGGGCTGTGACAAACTGTTTTGTCGGAGTTTATATGTATATTTTACGAGTTTTCTATACTGTGTCTCTATAACTTCTACTATCTTGCCCCCCCCATCCTCGATTCTCGCAATCTTTACTCTTCTCGCCACGGGCGGAGCCGCGGCAGGTCCACATGTTATATTTATTTATTTGTATTTATTCGTGAACATATCGTTTTACTTTCAGTGATGGAATATCATGAGGTGCGAAAAACGATTGCACTTACGGTTCTTGGACAAGCATTATCCTTCCGCTCCTTTTGCGACTGCTTGGTGGTTATATCCCTAGGTTTTCTTTCGAATTTCCATTCGTGATTTGTAATTTGTTCTGCATGTGGTTGTCTCGTTGTTTTCATCGTCGAATAGGCTTTATATTTCGATCTCGTTTCTGACCAAGTTTTTCCGATCTTGATTTTCCTTTCGCCGATGGCTTTCGACGATTTTTAAGAGCAAAGTTCACCGAATATGTTATCTTTGTCCGGGTCCTTGAGTGTTTTAATGAATGCTGTTGAATTTAATATGGTAGAAGGTTGTTTACTGCTATATCGTCATGGACATTCAATATTCATTTATTTATTCATCTTTGGTAATTACCTTTGATTTTCCAATGTTTTTTGTCTTCTGTTTCCAAAAAATCAACTTGAAGGAAGATTTTAAACACTTCGCTGTCCTTACAGTTTCTGACAAAGGTCAGGAATGTCGAACGTGTTATCTTCCAAGGGTATTCTAATAGTCTAAGTTCCATATAATATAGTTTCATTACAGCGGGTAGATCCTTCACGTCATATGTATTTGCTACCATTCTATGTAGGGTGTTGATGATTGTTAGTACTTTGGTGTTCACGGAACCGACACTCCCGAAATGACGGATAAACCGAAGAGAGAGAGAGGTGGTTGAGGTGACGGTACACACTATGTCATGTCTGGGCGGCGCTGCAGATAGGGGAGGTAGCAGGTAGCTGAGGTGAAGCGAGGGAGAGGGGCAAAAAGGACTCTAAGGGAGAAGGATTATCAAAACGAAGAAGGGATGGTGGGAACATCAAAATTTGTGAAAACGGGTCGGTTGGCAAAACCCTGAACGCACTTCGCAGTGTTACCGCTCGTGCAACTCAATCTGATCAACTTATGTGCAACCAATCACCCGTAAGACCACAGGGGATTGGAGACAAAGAGGTTGCAAGAAGACGAAGGGCAGGGGAATAGAGGAATTTGGTGCAGGAATAGGCGAGCGGGAGGCTGGCATAGAATGCATACAAATTCAAATTGTCGGACATGTAGGTGTGTAATCTGAAAATATCTTAAGTTGCAAAGACAAGATATAAAAGGAGAGAGAACCAGAGTAGCTCGGCGTACACGGCTCCGCGAAGTTCAACGTGTATACACGCAGGTGGGGGTCAAGTTGTCATCGCTGTTACCAGGTAGGTGTGCGTGTGTGTGTGTGTGGTAGGGGGAGAGAGAGAGATACACACTTGCAACAATAGACAACATGTGCGAGGTTTTACTTTCGCAGTATACACGTCATGTCCAGCCGCGATTACCCTTCTGCCTCATTGCTCAGGTAATCCTTTCAGCCACCGTCCTTGAATTTATACCCTATCATCCTTATCCTTCCCACGTGCTTGTCCTCAATCCCTGCAGTATCCTCATCATCGTTGCCTCTGATTTCTCCGTAGTCACGCTCTATAACGCCCTTGTCGTCGTTGGTTTCCAGTGGTCGTCGAGTTGCTGCATATAACATCTTCCTCCTGCGTATGCTCCTATGATACTGTCCATTCCTGTTTCTATTCGTCTTTTTGCCAGAATTTCGTACTCATTCAGTTTATTTCACTCTCGGTCGTATTTCTGTCGACAAATAATGTTTAATTTTTTTTGTGTTTATATCTGACTTGTCTTTTTGGCTTTCTTCTAGCTTTGTATGTTTCTTTGTCTTTCGCGTGGTCATGGGTTTCATCATTATTTTTCAGGTGAGTACTTTCATCTTCTCGTCTGTGGCGGATCCACCAGTTGTGGTGCTCCGCCAGGGATAGAGATGGAGATGGAGGAAGAAGGGGGGAGCGAGATGGCACAGCGCAGCTCCCACGCTAGACTCCAACGCACGTACTTCAAAATGTGCGAATGTAGAATGATCTCACAAACAGACAACAGTTGGGGTATACCCCAGCGGACTGACTGGACCGGACTGGACGGGTTGATACCAACAGAGGTACCGGCCTGGACTGGACTACCCCGAATACAAGATAGGCCTGTGAGAACAAGCCAAGGGGCTGGTCTCACAGGCCAACCAGAGGTCCGCTACACGATCCTCTGCCTGTGACGGATCGCCTAGATACAAGCACGCTTCCGCCAAGAAGTGGAACTCTACCAAAGAAAAAAAAAACCTGAGTAGTCTAGGATGCGGAGCAAGCTCCATGCTGAGTCCATGCGATGCAACCTAGGATAGAAAATGTCACAAAAACAACAATGTCACAGCTAACAGCCTAAGTGGAAGCCAGTCTTGTATACATGTCCTAGGAAAGCAGAAGGTAATGGCAGCTAGATCCTAGAATGTTGGAGGCAGTAGCCTCAATCTGGAAACAGCTGACTAGTGTATAAGTCCTAAGAACAGAGAAAGCAGAATAACTAAATCCTAGAAATGTCAGACGCAGTAGCCTCAGTCTGAGAGCAACAAAGCAACAACAAGACAACCATATGTCACAGGAGAGGTGTGTCACAAACCAAAGGGTGGGATGGTCTATGAGGGTGGCGAATGCAGCCTAGGCGTCGATAACTCCTAAGGGCATCCACGCAAAATGACAAGGAGGCACATTTCATCAGGCTCAAAGAAGGTAGGGGAACTGGGAGCGAACATAACCAATGACCCTAACAGATAGACCATCAGGGCGGGTGACCGCTATGGAGGGTCGACCATGCAAGGGAACAAGGGAGCCAGGTATACTCGACGCACCTAGATGAAGCATGCGAGGCTGCCTAACTAGGGTGTGAGGGCCAACAGAGGGTAGAAAGGTGATGGGTAAGGGAATCATGCAAATGACTCCTAAGGTGAGGGAAGTTGGAGCTAGATCCGTAAGCTGGGAAGCCCGGGCAACGCTACGGTCCCGATGCCTATGCGTATACCAAGGAAGAGCCCAACTTAGAGGAACCCGGCGAAGGGAGACCATCATGCGACACAACCAGGGCACTGTACAGGGTAAGGTGGTAAGAGGGCACAACGTCTGAAGTAGGCAGAGATGATCGTGACGAAGTCCATGAAGCTGCCGATGACGTCCATGATGAGAAGTACGAAATGCCTTCGAGGAAGAGCCGCAACGTCGACGAGCTGAAGTGACAAAACTGGAGTGGATGGAGTACTGAGAAGTCAGAGGCGTGGGAAGATAAGTCAGAGTCAATCGTCGTATCGAGCAGAACGACGACGAGTGCGCATTGGACGCTCAGAAGTATCCGGCTGCTGCTGAAGGTCTGCCTCAAATGGAGCAGGCTCGGCTTCA